GGCTGAGGCAGGAGAATTGCTGTAACCTGGGAGGTGGAGGTGGCAGTGAGCCGAGACGGCGCCACCGCACTCCATCCTGGGAGCCAGAGCGAGACTCCGTCTCAAAAAAGAAAAAACGGTGAACATAATGAGCTTTGCCTCAAGTTTCTAAACCCAGCATACCCGGTGCTGCCAACGGGGCACTTGTCTCTGCATTTAAAATGTTTTCATTTATCCAGAATTGTCTGGAGTGGTTTGAAAAAGCTCAAACTTGAGGCAGGAGACAGTGTCGTCTCCGGTGGCGTGGCACGTTCGTGGCGCCAGCAGACGGGGACGGCAGGCTCTGTCAGCGGCAGGCAAAGTGGCTGGGCCAGGTTCTGCTTGGACACAGCGAAGGAAGGGCAGCAGGAGATGCCAAGGAGGAAGCCACCGCCCGCTCCATCCGGCCACGCCAGAGGCCACTGCAGGACCTGCCACCCATCTGGCAGACTGTCGCGATGAGAATACCGGGGCTCGGAAGGAGCTAACAGTTTATATGTTACAGAAAAAAGGAGGTACACACCAGAGCTTGGAACCAAGGCTCACGCCTAACGGGAAGGGGCTGCTTGTGGGAGAGCCTGGCACTCTCCACAGCTTCTCTGTGCGCGGGGTTTCAACATTGACCTTAAGGCTCATGCTGCCTTTGTCACTTAAAAATGATAAATAAAACAGAAGCCCTGTTTTAATTAGGGAAAGCAGTTGATTTACGCAGAGGAAAATCACTAGTTCACTCCCTCACCCAAGGGAGCTGCAGGGGGGAGGTGGGCAGGGTGCTGCCACAGGGCGATGGGACTGGACGTGGCTGGGCCCCCAGCTCCGGGCTCCTGCCCGCTGGGCGCATGGGAGCCTCCGGCCTCTGGGGTCCAATCCTGACTCGCTGCTAACGTTCACCATGGGCACCCTGCAAGACCCTCTGCAGTGGCCTCTACTGGAACCCAGGTGGGTCAGTCCCTGACCCCAGCCCAGACCGGAGGGAGAAGGCGCAGGGAGACGGGGAGGTGCTGGGCAGAGGTGCTGTTAGTTTCTTTGACAAAAGCTGCAAATGGAAGGCCTGGGGCGGAGTGGGGGAGGGGGACACAGGGTACTACAGGGCAAGGCGGCATGGGCAGGGAGGACCCACCGCACCAACCTCACGACAGCCCAGCCTTCGGCAGCAGTGACGGCAACCGGGACTGGGTGTGCAGGGCCCCAGGCCGGACACGCTGTTCCCAGCCAGGTGCGGGGTCCCTCAGCTGCCAGTCTGAGCTCTGACCAGCAGTGCAGGAGCCTCACAGCCAGCCTGGCCTCAAAGCCTCCTGCCCTGAGCACCGGCCTGGCTCCTCCAGGCCACTCAGCTCACAACAGCCCTTGGGCGTGCCTGCGAGCACTGAGGTCAGGAACCATCACAGGCCAGCAGGCCAAGGACACAAGGCAGCCAGAAGGCCTGTGCCACAGCCCCCCCGTGCCCTGGAGCCCCCATGCAGCCGCCCCGGCTCAGCAGGCCTGGCTTCCGTGCCCCCAGGCCAGCCCACATCACTCCTTTCTGCAGAGATGTGGTGGGGCTTCGGGCATCCAGCTTCCCAGTTTCCATCCACCCTGGGTGAGCTCCACCCCAGCAGGGAGGCCCAGAGGAGCCAGGCTGACACTACCACCCACAAGAGCAGGACTCTCGGTGGGCATCGGAGCTGAGGGGCAGAGACCCGGCTCTGCCTGAAGTTACCTGTGACCCCCAAATGGAGTCCCTTCCCCTGATGCCATGTGACTCGTATCATCCCTGCCAGAACACACCCTGGGAGGGCCCAAGAGCCTGGAGTAGGGGACGTCACTGCTGGGGTGCAGACGGCCGGGGTGACAGTCCTGGAGCCTCAGCCGGTTCATCCGTCAGCTCACGCTGCCGTCAGTCACCAAGGAGTGCAGACCAGGCACCCCAAAAGTGGACGTGGTGCCCCCTCTGGAGGCTGAAGTCCCGGGTCCCAGGGCTGACGGGGAAGGTTCCTCCCGGCTCTCCCTCCTAGGCCTGTGTCAGGCCCCCTGGCTGTGTGGAGCCCACCAAGCTGCATCCGAGCCGTGACCTCTGTGACGACCCCATCTGCAGAAGACAGCACCCCGACAGGCCTGGGCACTGGGACAACAGAGCATCTGCCGGGGTCCAGCTGAGCACACAGCGGAGAGGCCCGGAGGGTCTGTCTGCAGCCAGGTCTCCCCCTGGCCCCGGCCGTCACCCGTGATCGGCCCGAGACCAGCACAAACCCTCCGTGGTGTCAGCAAGAAGGTCCTGGCTGGGTCCGAGTGGGCATGGTGGCGGGGTGAAGCTGGCGGGGAAGCACCTCCCATGGGCTCAGGGCAGGGCTGCAGCGGCCTCTGGTGGCCGCACGAGCTCAGGATGCCAGTGCCTTCGGCCCAGCCCTGCCCCAGGACTCAGGAGTGGGGGACAGCACTCGGGAGGTACCAGTACCAGGCGTGGCGGCCTGCCCAGGGCACAGCTCAAGGCCGGGCTCTGTCTGCCCTGCTGCAGTCTAAGAGCCGAGGGGCCACGGGTGGGACAGGCTTTGCAGTGGAGGGTGCGACTCGGGGAGAGGGACCTGAGTGCCTGTGCTCGCCCACACACAGGGTTCCTGGGAAGCCCTCCCCTCCCTGGCGGCGCTCAAACCAGGGCAAGCAGGGAAGAGCGACAGGCCACGGCTGTGGCTGGCACTAAGTCCCCAGGGCAGGGGCCACTTCACCTGAGAAGCCCCCTGGGTGGGGGGACAGCAGCCATGGGGAGGCTGGCAGCAGGGTCACCTGTCCTCTCAACACTGCTCCCAAAACCCCCGCTGGGCACAGGCAGGGTCCCAGGCCAGTGCTGGGCCAGGAGGGCGGCTCCCCCAAGCAGGGCCCTGCAGCTCCCTGCCCTCCCCAGCCACACCACGCGCACAAAGCTCCGTTCCAGTGCCCTGACTTCTGTCCTCAAATAAGCAGACTGCAAAGGAAACTGGGTGTCCCAGGTAGACAGAAAACCTGTTCGGTATAAACTGGGTCCCCCAAAAGTAAGCACCTCAATAGCAAGGCTGTGCCTACAACCGTACCAGGGCCTCCCACAGCGGGGAAGGCTCCAGAGGGGACCAGATGCTGCCCGGCTCCTACCCAGCATCCACCAGGCCCTCACACTCCCAGAACAAAGGGGATCAGCAGGACATAGCCAAGGTGGGGCACAGACACAGGAAGCCCCTTAACTCACACCAAACCCCACCCACTCCAACAGCCCCTCACACCACCACCACCTCACACGAACTCCCCACTGACACCAACCCCCACTCACACCAATCCCCCTACTTACAACACACCCTATTCACACCAACACCCCACTCACATCAACCTCCACTTACATTAACTCCCCACTCACCAATCCCCACTCACACCAACACCCCCTCACACCAATCCCCTACTTATGGGTAACCCCCCATATAGGCACCAAGGAATGAGAGCTAAGCAGAACCCTTGCAGTTAGGGCGTGAGGAATCTCTCACTTTACAGTGTTACTACTCAGCTATTTCCTTCTATATAATCCTTTATATAATCATATATGAGTTTATAGAAATAGGGCTTGTAGTCTCCCTTTATATAATTCTCCATATATAATCATTAATGGTTGATAGTATGAGTGCCTAAAGAATATTTCCCTGCATATATACCTATAATTAGATCTTAGTTCATATTCAGAGGAATGCCTAGAGTGGACACAGTACAGAGCATGAATTAAGGAATAAGCAGCTTATAATCAGAGGAATGCCTGGAGCAGACACAGTGCAGAGCACGGTTTAAGGGAAGACAGTTATACCAGGGCAAGAATCCATGGCCCAGGAGGCCGCGTTCAGTATCATAAAGATACCCGCTGTGTGGCAGGCTTGGGGCGAGAGCCACTCCTCCTGATAAAGGAGCTGTAGGACCTTGCTCCAGTTCTCGTGGAAGGCTGCCCTCAGAACAGCAATCCACCTTGGGGACTGTGAACTTTATCAGCTCTTGCTACTGTGCTGCTCGAAAAGCATCTTCCTATAGAACTAGCAGGTGGTGGTAACCCTGACAGCTCTGTTACTGCTGTGTGACTTAAGCATCCTCCTATAAATCTTCTTAGAACTAGTTTGCCCATAGATAGAGGTATTGCACACGGCACCCTCTTCACTGAGCACGGCCCACCTTCAAGCCTCGATGACCTAATGGGGGTGGACCCCTTACTGCACACAGCTCTTGCCTTCGTGGGAACGGGCCCCTTGCTGTGCACTGTCCGCCTCCTGGCCTCGGTGACCTCATGGGGGTGGACCCCATGTTTTACTGCTCACGACCCTATCACTATCCTTAAAGATGACTTCACTCACTGCCCTGCCCCCAACCTATACACAACCAATACACTTCTGGACATTCGGGGCCTCGCCTGACTCTGCTCATAGGTGGCGTGGCCCCTGAGCCCAGCTGCGTTTTCCTCGTACTTCTGTGTCCTGTCTCTTTCTTTCTCAGATCCTGCGCCTCAGCACAGCATAAGGGACACCCCACGACCCTGTGGGCCATCAGTCCTAAACTACCCCCAACACCCCCCATTCACACCAACACCCCCACTCACAACCCTAACCAACCCCACTCTCACACCAATCCCCTAGTCACGCCAACACCCCCATCCACTCCCACAACCCCCACACCCGGATACGTCACCCCACACACTGGCCACCGTAACTGACCCAGGCAGAGAGAACCCCCAGCTCCCTCCCGGTGTCCGGAGCGTCACCTCAGCAGCGGCCCCGAGCTCCGCACCGGGGTACACTAGGGCCCAGGGTGGGGGTCAGACGGTGACCTGTGACACTGGTGGCCCAGAGCCCCTGGGAGAGACTGCACCTCAGGTTCCCCACCGTCACCTCCCCGGCCGTGGGGGAGGCAGGGCCCCAACGTGCCATGTGCCAGGTGGGCCCTGGCAGACGTGAGGGCCTCGGCCCCGCAGAGGCACCGAGCCACCCGGCCCACACTCTGAGCCGCTCTCCTGTAAAACCATTTATTCTCAGGTGGGCAGGGTCAGCTGAGCGTGAAGTGCTGGGCACAGACATCGCCCGGCCGTCCCAGCAGCCCCTGGGCTGGGAGAAACTCCAGGGGCACCGGCTCCGGCCCTTTCTTCTTCAGGTCCCGCTCAAAGATCTGCAAAAGACGGTGGCTCTGTATAGGCGGCGCTCTGTGGCCCGGCCCCTCCCACCCGAGCCCCTCCCACCGGCCCCTCCCACGCGGCCCCTCCTACCCCAGCCCCTCCCACCCGGCCCCTCTCACCGGCCCCTCCCACCCGGCCCCTCCTACCCCAGCCCCTCCCACCCCGGCTCCGGGCCCGGCCCGGCCCCGCCCCCAGCCCCCCGCCCCCCGGCCCTGGTCCCGGCCCCGCACCTCATAGGCCGTGAGCTCCAGCAGCGGCGAGATGCTGACCTCGGGCACAGACAGGGCCTGGTTGATGACACTGGCGGCTTTGGACACCTCAGGGTGGTAGTGGCGTTGGAGGGCCTGGGGCGGCAAGGCCATCAAGGAACAGCTTCCCCGGGACCCCGCCCTGTGCCCCCAGCCACGGCCTCCTGTGCTACCAACCAGAGTGGGCAGAGGGCAGAGCCTCGGGGCAGGCCAAGCACCATGCACCCCCAAACCCAGGGGGCCGTGGGGGAAGACACGGCGTCAGGCTATGCGGGAGGTGGCATGGGGAGGGGAGCTGGGCTTTCCGAGGGCCCCAGAGCATGGCGGCAGCGCCCTCACCTGAAGCTCCCACAGGGAGCTCTCCAGGGCCCGGCTCTGGGCCGGGTCCTCCTCTCCGGGATCGTAGGGGTCAGCGTCCAACTCTAGGAATGAGATTCAGGAGCTCGTCTGCCATCCACCTCTCCAGGACGCCAGCACCCCCAGCCCCGCTGCGGCCCAGGCTCCGAGACCCCCAACTCACCAGGCCCGTGTGGGCGGTGCACCAGGACGCGGCAGGCGGGGTGCCGACGCAGCAGGTTACAGATGAAGGGCAGGACCATGAGCAGGGCCTCGGGGGGAGCCGTCAGGGCCAGGCGGGCCAGGCGCTTGGCGAAGGCAGCCACCAGGTAGGCGGGGAGGTGGCTGGCAGGGCAGCGGTGGTAAGGCAGGGCCGGGACTGCGAGCCCCACCACCCTCCCAGCTGGAGCCACAGAGGCAGGCGGAGCCAGGCGCCCCAGGACTCACGAGGACGACAGGAAGACGTCGGCCAGGCGGAAGAAGCGAGCTCGGTACTTGACGTGAAAGACGGAGGGGTCCAGGAGGCCATAGAGCTTCCGGTAGAAGTCAGGGTACTCCCTGCAGGCCGGGGGAAAGGAGCAGTGGATGGAGCGGGCCCACAACTGTGGCCTCTGGGGCCAGGGTCTCCCTCAGCACCCCCTCCTCCTGTCCAGGGGTCCAACACCATGGCCTGTGGGGAGAGCAGGGACCCCGCCAGGGCCGGGTGGGAAGGGGACGGGGGAGCGGGGCTGGGGCTGGGGCTGGGGCCGGGGCCGGGTGGGAAGGGGAGAGGGGAGCGGGGCTGGCGAATTGGGAAGTGAGGAGAGTGAGGGCCACGGGGGCAGGGTGGGAGGGGGCAGAGGAGCAGGGCTGGCGGACTGGGACGACCTGCACCGCCCCTCCAACCCCTGCGACACTCACAGGTTGTGCTCGTGAATCAGGATGAACAGCCCGTTCAAGGCCAAGAGGCTGAGAGCACCCCCTGCAGACAGACACAGGCTGAGCCAGGGACCTCGCTTTCATCCCACCCCTGCCCACACTGAGCACAAGTCTGTGGAGTGTGGCCCCTGCCCCTGCTGTCCCCTCCCACTGCCCATGGACACGAAGCTGGAGACCATGTGCCAGGTGGAGGAGTGGGGGGTAGAGGCACTGTGGGTTAGGGTTAGGGTTAGGGTCAGGGAAGAGGCACTCGGGATGGGAGAGTGGGAGGAGGTGCAGCGTGGGTGGGAAAGTGGGGGGGAGGCGCCGAGGGGGTGGGAGAGTGGGGGGGAGGTGCTGAGAGGGTGGGAGAGTGGGGAGGGGGACCGCGGGGGTGGGAGAGTGGGGGGGGAGGCAACGAGGGGGTGGGAGAGTGGGCAGGAGGTGCCGCGGGAGAGTCGGGGGTGGGGGGGGGGAGGCGCTGTTCCCCACGTGTGAGCCAGGTGCCTGCACTCACCCAGGTCGCAGGCGCGAGTGAGGAAGTCAATCATGAGCGTGGGCTGTGCCAGCTGCGGCAGGATGGCATCATGCATGATCACCAGCACCTTCTTGTAGAGGCTGAGGGGCAGCTGCTCGAGGGCAGGCAGGTCAGGGTGAGGATCCCCCCTTGGGAAGAGCGGGCACCACCCCGCCCACCGCCCGTCCTACCTTGTGCTTGAGGAAGTTGAGCCACATGGCCTGAAAAGCCTTCCTGTGCTCCTGCAACGGGGTCCAGGCTTCACTCACCGCCCCCACTCCAGACCCAGGGCCCAAGCAGCTGCCAGGGTCCCCCAGAGCCCAGCCCTGAGATCCAGCACAGGCCCGGTCCCCTTTTCTGACCCCGCCTTCCCCTTCCTGTCGCGGGCTCAGAAACTGTCATCTCCGGGTGCAAGTCAGGAGCGCCTGGCCCCCGAGGCTGGGGTCTCAGAACGGCTAGGAAAGCAGCCTTGGAAGATGAGGGCCGAGAGGGAGGCCACAAGCGGCACCAGAGGCTCCAGACCCTGAGAGGTGACAGGCCTCTGACCTGAGGCAGGCCCCTCCCACGCTTGTGAGTGAGCAGACGGCTATGCGAGCTGCCGCCTGTGCCCTGGGGATTTTCGCAGGTGAAGAAGTTGGCAGCAGGCCTCCTCGGGGCCTCACACACGCCCCACATTCACCCCCAAGCCCAGAGGGTACCTGGTCCTCCAGAGGCAACTTACCTTCAGGTGAGCGACCTTCCAGGTGTCCGACAGCTCTGCAAGGAAAGACAGAGCCAGGCGTCACCTGACCCACAGGGGAGGCAGACCAAGGCCCAGCCAGGTCCGCCCCAGCCTTCGGGACACTCACCCGCGCGCTTCACATAGAAGCTGGAGACGGTGGGCTCCCGGCGGGGCAGGCTCACGGCGGACAGCAGCGTGAAGGCGTTGTTCCAGAAGGCGGGGGGCACCTGCGGAGCCGGGGCTGAGTATCTGGACGCCACCCTGGTCCCTGCCTTCTCAAGGCACCAGCATGACGCTGGCTACAGGACCTGGCTGCTCACCTCGGGGTGCTGACCAGTGACCCGGGCCACGGTGTCCACGGCTGCCCGCATGGTGTGGTAGCAAACGTCATCATGGTCCAGGTACTCCCGGAACTGGGACAGGAGTAGGCTTTGGTCCTCCTCAGGAGACAGCAGGCCTCCCACCACCAGCTGGAGGTAAGGAGCCGTGAAGAGCCCGGCCCAGCATGGGCCACGCAGGCGGCCTCGCCCCGCCGAGCCCCCCACCCAGACGACTCCTGGCTAGGTGGGCCAGGAGAGGCACCCCCATGCACAGGAGCTGCAGGAGGGTCCCAGCTCAGCAGAGCGGGCCCCGCCCCCACAGCAGGGCCATCCTGGGCTCTGGGAGTCCCGCAAGGCCCTCACCTTGAGGAGGTCTTGGGGGAACAGGTAGTTGCCTTCCCACCTGGGCTTCTCCAGCGGGTGCACTCCTTCCAGCTGCACCAACTTCATGAGTGTGCCCAGGGCCAGCTCCTGGGAAGGGGGCAGTACAGAATGGCTATGATGCCCTCACCCACGGAAGGGCCCCGAGCTCAGCCCAGTCAGGGAGGCCCTCACACCCAGGTCCAGCCCTGAGGAAAGGGGGGCCCGGCCTTCTCTTGCTCCACACACCGCCAGATGCCACTCTAGGCTTCCACGTCCCACCCATGATGTAGGACGATAAGATCCTGAGTGAAAAACAGAGTCTGGCTGGGGAAGGTCCCACAGGCCAGGTCTGCTTTATGAGCCACTGGACTGCTCTCTGGTCAACTGTGTCATGGCAATACCACCGTAACCCTCAGGAACCACTGTGAAAACACAAGCATGTGACACCAGCGTGGTGTCGAGCGGAAGGAGCCACACATCCTGTGATCCCCCTCATGAGGAGCATCTAGAGAAAGCAGCCACTGATGCAGAAGCAGATTAGCGGTTGCCCAGGGCTGGGTGTGGAGGGTGGGACATGGGAGTGATAATTGGTACTGGATTTCCTTTGGGGCGATGACAACGTTCTGGACAGCAGTGACCAGTGCACGCCTCTGTGAACACAATAACAGACGCTAACCGTGCGTGAGTTATTTCTCAGTACAGCTTTTAAGAAAGCTCGTAACTCGTTCCCGCAGCTGCATACCACAGTGTGGGCTAAGCAAACACGTCTGCAGCCTGGACTGGCCTGAGGCTTGGCGTGTGTGCCCTACGCAAACACAGATCCCCGTTGATGCCACTGGAGGCGAAGACAGGCTCTGACTCTCCCCCTTCAATATCCAGCCTGGGACTCGACAGCTCTGCTTCTGAACCGGGAGACACAGCGAGGCTGCCCGCCAGAACACTGGTCAAAGGAAGGAAGCAGCTTTCCCGGACAACTGTGGGAGCCCCAGACCTCTCCTCTGTGGATAGCCTGGGCGGGGGGTGTAAGGAATGCATAAGGATGAGGCCAGCCCAATGATCCCAAAGACCCACCTTGACCTGAAAGGAGGGGTGCCCCAGGAGCTCCCCCAGGCGGTTGCAGCAGCTGTGATAGCGGTGTCTCATCCACACCTTGTACTTGCGCATGGCTCCCCTGGACCCTGCAGACAGTTAAGGTGGTCAGCCCCCATGAGGCCCACATATGCCAGCCCGGGACCAGCCCAAGGTCCCAGGCCTGGCCCCACCCTCCCACTATCTTCTACTCACACTCCACAGGTCACTATGACCCCAGACCTGTGCTGGGACCAGCACACGCCCTGAGCCCTGCAAACAGGAAGAGCAGCTCCTACCCCAGGACTGCCCCAGCGAAGCTGCCAGGGTCAGGATCCCCACTCCCCACTTTACTCCAAGACCTGATGTCCCCAGGATGGGAACCTAAAGCTCCGATTTTAAGTGACAGTATCAACATCAATCAACCTCAAATTACAAAGGGGTACAAAACACACGCATTCATCTAAACCCAGCTGCAGAGCACCCGTGCCACCCCACCCCAACAGCACTGCCCATCCTCCACGATGGGTTTGGTGTGTCCTCCCATCGGCCTGCACAAAGCCTCCCTCCGACCCACAGAAAGAGGAAGAGCAGCCCTGGGGCCCTCCAGTGGTTACCTGTCATGACCATCTCCTCAGGGGGCAGCTGGCCCACAAACAGCTCTCCCCGCTCCAGCAACGCCCCAAAAAGACGGCTGCACGTGCGGACTGCTTCCTGGATCTCCTCCTGGTTCTCAGACTGCAGGAAAGGCGGCGGCGGGTTGCCCAGCCGGGAACTGTCACCTTCGCCCCCGCCTAGGCCGCCCCCAATCCTGCTCCCCTTGCCCTCAGGACGCCAGCCCCGTCATCCCGGGCCCGTGACCCACGCGCCTCCCACCCTGACCCTCCAACGCCGTCTCAACCCCCCAGGGCCCTGCCGCCGCAGCCCCCAATTCAAGTCCCGCTCCGGGGCCAAGACCCCAGCCCTGCGACGTCGCCGGACCCACCTGCAGCACCGCCAGGATGTCGAAAACGGCGTTGGCCTCACTGCGACTCGCCAGCACCGCCTCCAGCCGCCGGCCCAGCGCCCGGCGAGCGCCCGCGGCGCCGGGTTCCCGCTCCATGACGCCCCCAACACAGAAACACGTGGATACCCAGCCGCCGGCGATCCGTGGCGTCGCTGCCGCGCGTAGAGTCTGACGTCATCTCTACGCGCCACACCCAAACCCTAGCTTTGCGCGCCGAGCCCGAGTCCCAGGCGTGCCGCCGACGTCATCGCCGCGCGCCGATCCCGAGTCCCAGGCGTGCGGCTGGCCATGGCACTGTTCTATGTCGCGCGGTACCCGGGACCCGAGACGGCGGCAGATGCAAGGTCGGAGGGAGCGGAGGTCGGGGCGCACGGTCGGGCCCGCACGCTGCTCGAGCGGCTGCAGAGCCGGGCCCGCGAGCGGCAGCAGCAGCGGGAGCCCGCGCCGACCGAGGCGGCTGCACCGACCGAGCCGACAAGCAGGAAGCGACGGCGGCCCCGGCGGCGGCGGCGGGTGAACGGCGCGGAGCCGGAGAGCCCGGAGGCGCGTGGGGGAAAGCGGCGGAAGGCGGACGGCGTGGACGCGGGCGCAGGTGGGCCGCGGCGCGCGGGGCGAGCGGGCTTCCTCCGAGGCGCCGGCGACCCGGTGCTGACGCGCTGTCCAGCAGGTGTCTGCCGGGCTGAAAGCGGCGAGGAGGCGCCGGGGGAGCGCGGCGCAGGGAGCGGCGAGGAGGCGCCGGGGGAGCGCAGTGCGCGCGCCGAGGAGGTGGCCGGACCCCTGGCTCCCGGCCTGGTGCTCGGTGGGTTCGGGAGGAAGAAGGCGCTGAAGGTGAGCAGCGCCGGCGGCCAGGAGGGTGGTCGGCCTGGGAGTGGAGGCGGTCGCCCAGGGAGGCTTCGTTGAGCAAGCGTTGCGGGGTCACAGCCTCGCTGGCGAGCCTGCAGTTTCTTCCCCTAGGGGTCCGGAACCTGCATGAACAGTGCTCCCGCTTCCGCTGCTGCTCTGCCCTCCCGCCGCGGCAGCTGTTTTTGCTTAGCTTAGCGCAGGTGGTTTTCGGTAGAGATACCTGGGAGACAGATGAAGAAAGCGACAGGTTTAGGGCACTTTAGGGAGGGTCGAAGAGGTTCTCTGAGCTGGAAGCAAAAATTTGAAGCCAGGTCAAGGTTGGGGTTTGGGGCTGCCAGGCAGAGGCCTTGAGGCAGGGACAGTGGCATGGCTGGGGCAAGTGAGCGCCAGGTCACAGGGCCTCCTGTGTGCGGGCAGGTGGGTGCCACCGTGGGTTGAGAGGAGGCTACTGGCTGAGCGTGTTCCGGGGGTGGCATTTGCTGTTGCTGTTCAATTTCTCTGAAGGCTTCATAGAAAGCGTCTTGGGGCTGAGGAGCTGAAGACTCGAGAGGACGCTTCCCTGGCCTCCGTCCCACAGCCTCTTCCGCCCTGGGTTTCGCCTGAGAACCTGCAAAGCACTCACCTAGTCTCTGCTTTTGGTGGCAGGTCCAGCCTTTCCTGCCTAAGTGGCTGGCTGAGCCCAGCTGTGTCAGAAAGAATGTCACCGAAGACCTGGTTCCTATTGAGGACATCCCTGAGGTCCACCCTGAGCTGCAGAAGCAGCTGCGGGCACACGGCATCTCGTCCTACTTTCCAGGTGACCCAGCCCCGGGCAGGCAAATGAGGGGGCACCTCCCTGGGCACTCACACAAGAGGCTACGTGGCCACAGCGGTGCCGAGTGTGGTCTCAGCACCCGCAAGCTCACAGTTCCCACTTGGGTCTCCTGAGGCTGGTGCTGCTCGGGGACCTGGTGCCAGCCTCCAGCAGAGCAGCCCAGCGCAGAGGCCACAGGCAGGGAGGCAGCAGGCCCAGGCAGAAACACAACTTCTCTCTCACCTTTCTCGTCCAGTGCAGGCAGCTGTGATTCCCGCTCTCCTGGAGAGTGCGGCCTGCGGGTTCCTGGTGGGCAGAGGCGGCTACCGGCCTAGCGACCTCTGTGTTTCTGCCCCGACAGGCAGTGGGAAGACACTGGCTTTCGTCATCCCTGTGGTGCAGGTCTGTGGGGGGTCCCCTTCCTCTGCAGCAGGTGTGCAGAGGGCAGGGAACAGCTTTGCTGATGTGGGCGCCCCTTTCCCCCGTAGGCCCTGCTGTCAAGAGTGGTGTGCCATGTTCGTGCCCTGGTTGTGCTGCCCACCAAGGAGCTGGCCCAGCAGGTACAAGGACCCTAGACCTGGAGCGTGGCACCACCAGCCTCAGCTTCCCTGCTGAGTGCACAGGGATCAGCCTCTGGGTGACCCACACTAGATCCAGAGTCCTTTTGGCTGCAGTGGGGGACACTAGCCATCTGCAGGCCAGTGACAAACTCTTCCTGCAGGTGAGCAAAGTCTTTAACATCTACACCGACGCCACACCTCTGAGAGTCTCCCTGATTACAGGACAGAAGTCTCTGGCCAAGGAGCAGGATAGCCTTGTCCAGAAAACGTAGGTTGTGTCGGGATGTGGGTTTTTCTGGGGTGCCTTGCTCAGCTCTGCATGTGGCCTGAGGGACTGCCACGTTTAACCATCTGCTCCTGTGAGGAGGAGCTGCCGTCCACCCCTTCCCCCGTGGGGTGGAGTCGGGGCTGCGGGCGAGGCGGAATCTTGCTGTCTGGATCCCTGGAGAAAGCTGCCTTCTCTCAAGCCACTCTCCGTTCTGTAGAGCTGACGGGTACCGCTGCCTGGCTGACATCGTGGTGGCAACTCCTGGCCGCCTGGTGGACCACATAGACCAGACCCCAGGATTCAGCCTCCAGCAGCTCCGCTTCCTGGTAGGTCCTCTGCCCCTGGGCCTGGGCTTTGAGGTCAGGGCCATGCCACCCAGTCCCGGGCTCCCTGCCTCCCTGCAGATCATTGATGAGGCAGACCGGATGATTGACAGCATGCATCAGTCCTGGCTGCCACGGGTGGTGGCGGCCGCCTTCCAGAGCGAGGACCCTGCAGAGCCCTGTGCCCTGCTCCAGCGAAGGCAGGCCCAGGCTGTGACAGCCGCCAGGTATCCGGCAGCATGCCCAGGTGCTGGCTCCCCCTAGCAGAGGCCTGCGCGCCCAGCTCTCCGTTCTCAGCACCCATAGACAAGGCTGGCTGGATCTCCAGTGCTCTGAACCATGTCATTCTGTCACGTGAGCCAGACCCATTTTGCCCCTGGTCCACATGGCATGAGGTATCCCATTTCCAGGGGTCTTGGGACGGCCACTGGCAGAGTGCCAGCAACACCCACTTTTCTTCCAGCACCTGCTGTCCCCAGATGCCCCTGCAGAAGCTGCTTTTCTCAGCTACTCTGACCCAGAACCCCGAAAAGCTGCAGCAGCTGGGCCTCCACCAGCCCCGGCTTTTCTCCACAGGGCTGGCACACAGGGGCCCAGAAGAGACAGACGGGGACAGGGAATCAGGGAAGTACGCCTTCCCTGCGGGGCTCACAGTGAGTAGGATGCAGGGCAGAGGTTTGCGCTGGGAGCCTGGAGCCCCAACCCCCACCTCAGCCCTAACCCCCACCCCCACCATCCCTGCAGCACCACTACGTGCCCTGCAGCCTCAGCTCCAAGCCGCTGGTCGTCCTGCACCTGGTCCTGGAGATGGGCTTCTCAAGGGTTCTCTGCTTCACTAACTCCCGAGAGAACTCCCACAGGTGAGGCCCCGCTGGGCTGGGGGCAGCAGAGGCAGCCTGGTCCCGGCACCACGAGGCTCCAGCCTTCTCTCTGCCTAGGCTTTTCCTGCTGGTACAAGCTTTTGGAGGTGTGGATGTGGCTGAGTTCTCCTCGCGCTACGGGCCTGGCCAGAGGAAGGCGATCCTGAAGCAGTTTGAACAGGGGAAGATCCAGCTGTGAGTCCCTGGGCAGGGGAAAGGCCTCTGTGGGGTAGGCGCAGGGGCCCACAGTGCTGGTGTCCCGGCAGGCTCATCAGCACGGACGCCACTGCCCGGGGCATCGACGTACAGGGCGTGGAGCTGGTGGTGAACTATGACGCCCCCCAGTACCTGAGGACCTACGTGCACCGGTGAGCGTGGCGACCGGGCCGGGGCTTTGTGAGCTCCTGGGCGTCGTACGTGGGACCATCTGCCTGGTTTGGGGTGGGGTTGGCGTGGAGAGAGGCCATCGCTGGTCAGACCCTGGAAGGCCTGGGCCCATCTGGAGACAGCTGTGTTTGCTTCTAGGGTCGGGAGGACGGCTCGAGCTGGGAAAACCGGACAGGCCTTCACGCTGCTCCTGAGAGTGCAGGTGAGGCCGCGGGGGTCTTGGGTGTTACGCTGCCTGCAGGTGACGAGGGGCTGGCCCGAGACCCCCATTCCACCCATTTGCTTCCTTCCAGGAGAGGAGATTCCTCCGGATGCTGGCTGAATCTGGGGCGCCGGAGTTGCAGCGGCATGAGCTGTCCAGCAAGCTGCTGCAGCCGCTGGTGCCCAAGTACGAGGAGGCCCTGTCCCAGCTGGAGGAGTCCGTCAAGGTAAGGGCCGCAGGGCCCGGCATGAGACCGTCTGGGGAGGGCGTTTGCAGAGAGGGCGTCACCACCACAGGCTGAGAAAGGACGATCAAACAGGAAAGCAAGCAGGGAACAGGGTCACACAAGTTGTCCTCCAGCTTCTGGCCTGAGGACATGGTGGAGACATGCAGCCCAAAGAGGGCTTCCAACGGGGCCAGGGCCGGGCTTCTGCGTGCACGGGGCTTCCTGTCCTCAGGGCCCCGAAGGCATGAGGCGAGGAGTGCACGCTGAGCCTCCCTTTGCTCCACAGGAAGAGCGGAAGCAGAAGGCGGCGTAGGCTGGGTCTTGGAGGCAGAGGGGCCGAACGCCCACCGCCCTCACCCTCTCCCAGAGCAGTCCTGACCACCGGCTGCTGTGTGAGGACAGGACTCCCCCGGGCTCCCCAGGCAGGCAGTGGACATGGCCTTCCTCCCAAGTGTCCTCCGTGCCAGGCAGCCGGGCATCAGCTCAGGCACTGGCTCAGACCGGAGGCGTCAGAGGCTGTCACTTTCACAGCAAGAAGCCACCGAAGTTTTGGCTTCAGGTCAGGATGGCCACTGGGCGTGGAGCCTTATAAAACTGGAAAGCGCTCCGAAACAGAGGCCGTGGCACCTGCCACGTACGGCTGAGAGTTGGGGGGGATTAACCCTGAGCTAACGATAAAACTTTAGTGCTTAAAGCAACACGAGCACATCCACCATCATCCCTCAGAAAGGTCACTCGGGTCCCTCGCTCACATGTGTGCGGGAGCCCACAGGCCATCCTGATTTGGAACAGACGCCGAGAAACTCGGGTAAACGCTTCCCCAGGCCCGTGCCAAGCAGACCCCAAGAAGGGGACATTGCCCGTGAAACACTTCCATTGTCACAGACCGAAGAAGTCAGCCGTGTGGTCGACACCCAGTCCCCACCCAGGTGTAAACGCAGCGTGAAACGTTCTCACTGCGAACATGGTGGGAAACGTGCCTGGGAAGCACTGACCACTGTCCGTGAGGAGGCTTTGTTTTGAAAGTTCTATGTGATGATATTAAACTTCAAAAAAACGAGTGAACTGTGGTGCTTTTTCCGCCTGGAGATACTGACCCGTGTCAGCGAATGACGGTGTGAAAACATTCTTGAGACTGAGGCTCTGTGAGATACACTCGCCTCTCCCGCAGCCGCAGGCCGGGAGACGTGAAGTCCGTGAGCAGGATGGACGCTCCGGGCACTCAGAGAAGAACCCTCACGCCAGCACGCGCACGCTTCATGGGGACATAAGCGCAGCGTCCACCCCAGGCAAGCTTCGGTGCAGGCTGCGCGTGGCACTCCCGTGCGTGCTGGAACGGGGCTGGCTGCGGTCGTCCAGTGAGGCTTCTCCGGATGCTGACGCTGGGGCACCCGAGTTGCGGCGACACGTGCTCTCCAGGAAGCTGCTGCAGCCGCTGGGGCCCCGGTACCAGGAGGCTTCTGGGCCAGTCCTAGTCCTGGCAGCTTCCAGTATACAAACTAAGGACCAACAGCCCACACTTCCCACTTCCGTCCGGTGGCAAAAGGGATGAGAACGGGGGCGCCCTCCACGCTGTGGATCGTGTGCTGAATCCCGGAGCCGGCTGGACACACGTCAAGGCCGTTGCCCTGCTGAGTTCTTCAGCCACCCCCAACCCCTCCCCATGCCTGCCTTTGCCTCAGCTGGACCTGCCGGAGGCCTAGAGCCTGCAGGGTCGGTGGGGGGTGCAGCTGGGCTTTTTTTTTTTTTTTAAAGACGGAGTCTCACTCCATTGCCCAGGCTGGAGTGCAGTGGTGTGATCTCGGCTCGCTGCAACCTCTGTGTCCCAGGTTCAAGCAATTCTGCCTCAGCCTCCCAAGCAGCTGGGATCAGACATCTGCCACCACGCCCAGCTAATTTTTATATTTTTAGTAGAGACGGTTTCACCATGTAGACCATGATGGTCTCGAACTTCTGACCTCAGGTGATCCACCCACCTCAGCCTCCCAAAGAGCTCAGATTACAGGTGTGTTCCACCGTGCCTGGCCAGCATCTGGGCTTTCGCTGCTAACTCTCAGGGTTGCTGGTGTCCAGAGCCTGCCCGTGGTTCCACGCCCCCAGCGCGGGCATCTGTGGCGAGCCAGCCATGGCAACACACTGCTGCATGCACTTGTGCCAGGCTGCCCGGGGCCCCCGCTGTGCTTGCAGGAAGCACACGCCCTTGCTGCTGGCCACTGTGGTCCAACACGTCTCCAGCAGCTGCACTAAACCTGTGTGCTAAAGGGCGTGAACAGATGGTTCTGTGTTCAACAAAGAATTTGACACTGCTGCCATTTTCCCAAGGGTGGCCTGGACCTTTGAAGCAGCCTTAGCAAAATCAGAGCTGCTGCCTCTGCAGAGCCTGGAGTCAGCGAATGCCCAGAACATCGGTTTTCTCTCATTTAGCAGAAAGCAGCATACCCAGAATTATCAAAACACTGCTACGATACGCTGACATAGCCTGATTTTTGATCAAACAAGACAGTCGATGAGAACTGATTCTCGCAGACCCTACGGCGCGGCAGCCCTGGCTGGTGACGGCAACGCCTGAGCCTCTGAAGGCCGTGGACGCTGGCTTGGAGCAGACACAACAGGAGCGCGCCATGGCGTTTCAGCTAGAGCCCACCCCACCCTCGCCGCCTCAGCCCCACTGGCTCCACTCGGGCACAGCCAGGCACAGTGGCCAGTGGCCACAGAAACACGTTCCATGCCATTCTTCAGGAAAACGCAGCTCAGTGCCACAGTGAGATCCACCTCACACCCACGGGGATGGCCAAGCAAGACAGGCATGGGTGGAGATGCAGAAACCAGAACCCTCTGGAAACAGAGACCCTGAGACTCACGGGACAGACTCTTGGTGGCAATTAGATGCCCAATTACAAACAGGAGCTAAGACAGGGCCATGCGGGGATTAGCTGCACACCCTACGCTCAGAGAACAGGCCGTGTTCTAAGGCCACGCAGTGTTTAGCCGCTCAGCAAGCTCTGGCCTTGGATGGGCAGCAGGGAGGCAGCTGCAGCTTACCCAGCACGCAGCCAGCACCTCACGGACCCCCGCTCCCCAGCGATGACTGCAGCCCCAACCGGACCTGAGGCTGATGGCAGAGACCACCCCGCGTGCACGGCTCTGGCTGGTTTGCCGAGCAAGGCTGTGCAGAGCGCCTTCCTATCCCTGCGTCAGTGTTTGGCACGCACAGCCTAATTACTCGTAATGACTTCAAATGTGACGTTTCACCCCAGGGTGCAGATGGGAGCTATGCAGCATGTTTGCTCGTGCACATGCGTGTTCCTCTTCTGAATACTCATGCCTCTCCTGGTGCAGACGGGAGCCATGTAACGTGTGTTTGCTCGTGTACATCTGTTTCTCTTTTGAATACTCATGACTCTCCTGGTGCAGACGGGAGCCATGTAATGTGTGTTTGCTCGTGCACATGTGTGTTCCTCTTCTGAATATTCATGCCTCTCCTGCAGCCTGTTGAGCACGTGCACTTGGCCAGGCTGTTTGGCACCCGCCCTGTCACAGCCTCCTCGCCTCAAATGTGCCTGCTGCTGTCTCTGCCGGAGGCCCTGCATTCCAGCCTGGCAGGACAGCCACCCTGCAAGGTGCTACCCTGTCTAAGAAATAGCTCTGTCCATCTGCATTGAAGCTGTTTAAAAAGAAACATGGCTCTCCTTCCCTAGATGAGTGGACCTTGTGATTGTTCAGTGGACATCTCACGTATTGCTGGCGGGAAGGTCACATGTAGATATAGCAGGGCAAAGCCTCAGGGCTTCAGAGTCACTTACGACCCAGCACTTCCCCTCCTAGGCACCATGTACACCCCGGATCAATGAAATCTGCGTACACACAGAAACATATACACAAATCTCACAGCAGCACTGCTCACAATAGCCAGAAACAGGAAGCTAACGACATGTCTGTCAGCTGATCAACGCATAAAGCGGGAAATCCACACCAGGAGAGAAAGAAGCGGGGCACGGGCACCACGTGGCCGAACCTCACCCTCAGTCCCGGTCTACACAGACGGCACGCCTGCCCCCACCTCACCCTCAGTCCCCGTCTACACAGACGGCACACCTGCCCCCGCCTCACCCTAAGTCCCCGTCTACACAGACGGCACGCGTGTCCCCGCCTCACCCTCAGTCCCCGTCTACACAGACGGCATGTCTGCCCCCGCCTTACCCTCAGGCCCCGTCTACACAGACGGCAGGCGTGTCTCTGCCTCACCCTCAGGCCCCGTGAGGACAGGCCACCCGCTCACTAGCCCATTTACAAAAACGTTTTTACTGCACCTTGGCCACTCACAGGGGCTCCCCCTCCGACTACCGCTGTTCTTCCCTTCTTCCTGTTAGTTGCCTGCTCCGGATTCACTCTGCCTTTGCTTTGACCTCAGCCTCCTTGGCCGAGAGACGGGGAACCCTGTTACTTACCCAGACAACCAGGCGGCTTCGCCGTGATTGCTCTTTCTGGAGGGTGTGAATGGTTCCATGCCAGGGTGTGCAAACTCGAAGCGTGGACCTGACCACACACGTGGGAGGGGGAGGGCAGGCTCCGTTGGCAGCTGGGCGCATTGGGCCGGCCGGTCCTGGGCGTTCCACAGTGGCCCGGGGGCCTGGAGCCTTTCCCGGGGTTTTGAGAAGAGATGTAAGTGAGGGGAGGGAAGCAGTTCGCCCGACGGAGGCCACTGAGCGCACAAAGGAAGGGGTGGGAGGGACAGGAGGACAAGGCTGTCGGTGACAGTGGGGACCAGACACCCCAGGCGGGAGGGGGCAGGAGGCGGAGCGGTGTGCAGGGTGCTGGGCACTCACCAGCTGGGCATCTGCAGCTGGCCCTCGAGGGCTCCTCGCGACCTTCCCGGAGCAGAGAACAGACAGGAGGGAACTCGGATGGAGACGCGGCCTGAGCCGCCCTCACACTCCCGTCTCCTTACCTCTCCGGAAGGGGTGGGTCTTAAAAGTAGGACAGCGACAGCAAGGAGCCCATCAGCCACTGGCCTTGATCCCGTACGGCCACGTGTGAGGGCACAGTGTGAGCCACCGCGACCTGCATGTGGCCTGCACTAGCCTTGGGAGCCTGAGACACAGGGGACGGCGAGAACGGTGCGGGGCGTGGGCCGCTCCTGGCCGCTGGCCGGTCTGCTGCTGGGCCTGAACCGTGACTTGCTGGGCACTCATCTAGGAAAGGACGGGCCTTAGAGAAGGAGCGGGAAGACACAGAGCCACAGAGGGCGGCCACGCCTCCTTCATGTCTCCAGGCGAGAGTGTTGCGGATGGCCTGTGCGCCAGGCCCTGCGTGTTCTAGCTGTTGAGAGGCTCTGGGGCGAGCCGGACTGTCCGGGATTGAGGTCTGCACTGTCAGGAAGGCAGAGCAAGGCCGGGCGCAGTGGCTCATGTTTGTAATTCCAGCACTCTTGGAGGCCGAGGCTAAGGCAGGTGGATCACCTGAGGTCAGGAGTTCGAGACCAGCCTGGCCAACATGGGGAAACCCCATCCCTACTAAAAATACAAAAATTATCGGGGCCTGGTGGCGCCCGCCTGTCATCCCAGCTACTCAGGAGGCTGAGGCAGGAGAATCGCCTGAACCCAGGAGGCGGAGGTTGCGGCAAGCCGAGATCGCGCCACTGCACTCCAGCCTGGCGACAGGGCGAGACTCCATCTCAGGAAGGCAGAGCGAGTCCACCCGCCACAGGCCCTCATCAGCCCAGGCTCCAAGGAGACGATCCCTGTCACTGGGTAACACAAAAGGGCAGTGGAGAGGCGGAGCCCTGGGCTCGGCTGGGCCCGGTCTCCGCGGGAGGAGCCTCCCTCTGCCCCGGTCAAGGCCTCAAGGGCAGAACCACCCCTACACTCCCGCCCAGGTCAGGGTGCCAGCCATGTCTCCGGAGGTTGGCACAAGACCAGGTGGCGGCACAGCCAGCAAAACTGGCCACACCCGTGGAGTAAGGACGGCTGGGGGGGAGCCGAGGAGGGCGCGGCCTCACCAGAGCATAGCAGTGGCCGCCCAGCCCGGAGGGAGACGGTGGGTGGGTGTGTGCCCCACGTG